ACAAAAACTACGGGGAACCATGCAAAAAACGCATCTTCGCACGAGCAGCCCGTGCGTTGGCCAATTTTTGAGAAATCTTGCGTATAAGGCGGGGAATGTTCTGCATCACAAATCAATTTGTTTCGGATCAGGGCACATCCCATTATGTTCGGAACATCTTGTTTGGTTTAGTTATAGAATTTTTCAAATGCTTGTTTTCGCAGAAGACATTATGTTCATGGCAAGAAACTCACTCACTGCCGAATTGTTCTTTGCTCTTCTATCGAATGCGAAAAAATAAAATCTAAATTGGCAGAAAAAAAAAAAAACAAGTGAATGAAAAATGTTTGTTACCAGTGCCTACAATTAGATCTGAAGTGTCATTCAGTGTTGTTTGGTCGTGGCGCTATGGGAAGGAAAAAAACAGAATAGATGGCTCGTTCTAATTATCGAGACATCTTGCCCAGTAGTTTTATCAGAATTGAAAATGTTATACCTCTATTGTTGGCTGTGAAGCGAGAAAGTGGGACTTGGAATACATTTTATTCCAACTAGAAATTGTCATTGTCAAAACGAGTTGTAAAACGATGTATAGAAGAATTACGGCAATTCTGCTGCGAATTATTGCGATGTCGCTTTGGCGAAAGAGATTCTTGTACTGAACAGTTTACAAAAAAGGTGAAACAACTTTTGGCGAGGGTGAAAGAACAGGTGGACAAGCTAATTATGCATTTTTGCATATACAACGCATATTGTGACGATGTTTGTGTGTCTGTCCGAATGTCTTGATTCGGCAGTCAAACAAGCTTCGACGCCAAAATTTTGCCAGTGGTTTCCTCGGCCAAGTTTTTCCGCCCCAGGACCGCGGTACCAACCCCCGTGCAGCGCATGAACGCGTGAGAGTTTTGTGGATGGGTCGCTAACTCAGGAACCGAGAAAGCTGGGAGGTTGAAATTTTAAGAGGTTGTTCTCGAACTATATACAACTTAAATATTTCAAATTCAGTTCTCAGGTGTGTGTAGTTCCCACGTATGGTCCGTGAAACTTTTTGGCAGGAAAATGGATAACTCGTAAACCACGAAAGCTGGGAGGCTGAAATTTTAAGAGGATATTCCCCAGCCTGTGTTTAACTTAAAGTCACCAAATCCACCCCTCCTGTGCGTGTTCTTACATATGGCCCCGTGAAAGTTTTTGGCGAAAAAACCGCTAACTCGGGAACCAGGGAAGCTGAAATTTTGGGGTATGTTCTCAGCCCACGTACAACTTAATCTTTTCACATTCAGCCCTGAGGTATGTGTGGTTCTCACACACGATCCGGCGAAAATTTTTGGCGAGAAAGTCGCTAACTTGAGGACCAGAAAAGACAGCTGAAATTTTGAGGGGGTGTGCTCTGACCAAGTACTATGTAGTTGCACAATTAATTTACTGAACTTCAAAAACCAGTGTGCCATAAATTCTAGTTGCTGGGACTCCAAGTGATCTTACAACAGTACGAAATACTGCAAAAACGCATGGTCGCACGGGCCCGATTACTAAATTGTACTTATTGATTACTAAATTGTACTTATTCAATAAGAGATAACCGCTAGGATCGCCATTCATTGTGATGGATGGATCTGGTTGGATGCCTTTATGAATGTCCATGGATGCGGCGAACTTAGATTAAAGCAGAGTGGAAATTCAAATTAACAGGGGCAACTTATTAAATTATCTTGTTCGATAACACAAAAATCAGAAGTATTTTACAAGCAGTGCATCTCTCAAAATTTATTAGCAGGTCCCGAATGTCAACCCCGCTTCTTCGCATCTGGGGAGCTGGAAGCCGTTAACGATGGTAGCTCCGACCAGAAGTTCACAGTATGTACCTCTGCACAGTTTTGCTCCAGCTGGGGTCCCGACTTCCAGTACTTCCATGGTATGTCAATTTATCGTCTGCAGATTTCCAATCCTTACACGACTTTTTGAAAGTTTCTAAAAATTCTAAAATCTGTAAAATTTGTTTTTTTTTTAGAAGTGCTCCAGCGAGCACAGCTCGAGCATGATCGATTCTCCAGGGACTCAACGCAGCTCTGGCATGATTATTTCTCCGGGAACCCAGCGCAGCTCCGGCACGGCGGTTTCTCCGGGAACCCAGCGCAGTTCGGGGATGGTGGTTCCTCCAGGAGTTCAACATAGCACGGACATACTGGTTTCTCCGGAAGCTCGACGCAGCTCGAGCATGCTGGTTTCTCCGGTAGAAACTCGCAATACGGGCGTGGTGATTCCACCAGGAACGCAGCAGATGGCATCTCCAGCAGCTCAGCCCAGTTCAAGCGCGATGGCTTTTCTAGAAATTCCACACACTTCAAGCATAACAGCTTTCCCGGATATTAAAGTTAGCTCGGCGGTGACGACGGCTTCTACTGGAATCAGACAGGATTCTGTAATTTCTTCAGTGTCATTGCCGAACAAAGATTTGATGCCAGGTATTACTAACGAGTTTGGTGTTTTTTTTTTTTTTTTGCTGATGGCTGTTGCATGTAATTTGTCGAATTTTTATGTTGCTCTGTTGCAGACTTCCATCGAAGCAATGCAGAACGTGAAATCGCAAGAGCGGCAAAAGAAGTTAAAAAACCGGAAATTCGCGATTTATCCATCACTTTGAATGAAGATGACGATGATGTAAGTGATGTAAGCTTTCCTCTCCTCAGTTCTCTGTGTGCTCATTTCAGTGTTGGAAAAATTTGCATGGTAATTGTGCAGTCTTTTAGACTGGAAATTGTTCATAAAATTTACTCTGATTAATTTTTACCTTCAATGACATTGCAGGCAACAGCATTTGTAGCAACAGCTGACGAATTAGCAGAACTGACAAAAGGTTTTGATGTGGATGAAAGAGATTCACGACTGAGCTTGAGCGAAGCTGTAAGGGTTTGCTGTTGTGCATGTTGTATTTAGAATTCTTTTTAAAAAGCCTGTTTCTCACTTCCCTGGAACTGAAATCTAAAATACTTGCGCAGTAAATAGCAGCTACTGATTTGATATTGAATTTAAGGGATGCAGTTCAGTCACGTCGAGAAAGGCCGAGGACAGTAATGAGACCTCATCTTTGCAGAAGAGTGCAGTGGAACCTGAAGTAGCACCAGAATTGACAAGTAAGTGAAAGT